GGCTGTTCTTGCAGAAGACCCGGGTTTGAATCCCAGCACCCACATGGCAGCTAACAACTGTCCATAACTCCAGTTCCAGGGGATCCAGTAGCCTCTTCTGACCTCCACAGGTATTGCATGACATGGGTTCACTTACCTACATGCAGGCAATACATGCATACACATAAAAATGATTTAAACACCCAAAAGGAAAGTATAACCAAAGATTAAAGGGGCCAATATAATTTCTTAAGAGTCCATATGTATAGAAAGGCTACATAAAAAGCAACAATGCCAGACAAGCGATACCTTCTTTTGAGCTGATGGTCAGGGTGGCCAAAGGCATTCTCAGATAGTAACCCAGCATAGAACTGGGAAAATGAACAGCAGACCCCAATATTATCCAAAGGAATATTGACAACTGATTGCTGCTAGAAGAACAGCTGACCCTCCTAAAACAAAGACCTCTAGATAGGCTGACTAGATTCACCAGAAGGGCAAGTAGTGGGGAATGGCTGGGGTTGCGGACAACACAGCAGAGAGTAGCAGGGATATCAGAGTATAAGGGCTGTAGTGGGGGGAGGGAAGCTATGGGAGGGTGCTACCTGGGAAGTGGGTATATAAATAAATTTTAAAAAATAATTCTTCAAAGCATAAAAGCATAAAAAATTAGTAGATGTGGGAAACATTACCACTGAAATCTACCTGATGACTTTATATCCATGATACTGAGCACAATATTGTATAAATGTAATAATTCAACTGTAAACTAAAAATTTACAGCCAATTTTGAAAGAGATGCGTCTTAGCTCAGGAAATTGTTATTGAATATGTCAATGCTGTTGTAATGAAATGCTTCTTCTAATTATATGGTTATTAAATAAATAATTTTAAAAAAGACAACAGCAACAATAATATCCATCTTGAATATAAAGTATCCAATTTGCAGAGTACAAAAAATGATAAAATGAGCCTTAATAAAAATATTAGAAAGTTTGTCTGGAAAGATGGCTCAGTGGTTATGAGCACCAACTACTCTTGCAGAGCACCCACATGGTGGCTTACAACCATTCATAACTTCAGTTCCAGGGGATCCAATACCTTCTTCTGACCTCCATGGGCATTGCATGGCACAGGTGCACTTATATATACACAGGCCTCCACATGCATGTACTACATGTGCACTCATATACATAAAAATACACTCATGGGGCTGGAGAGATGGCTCAGCAGTTAAGAACCCTGGTTGTTCTTGCAGAAGATCCGGGTTTGAATCCCAACACCCATGGCAGCTAGCAACTGTCCTAACTCCAGGTCCAAGGGATCTGATGCCCTCATCTGACCTCCACAAGTATTGCACAACACGGGTGCACTTACATACATGCAGGCAATACATTCATACACATAAAATAAAAATAATAAAATATTTTTTAA